TATTTACTTTGTATTCATACATTCCATATAATCCACTCCTTAAGTCATATTTTCTCCCAAATAATGAATTTCTGAATTACATATCTTGTTCATGATAAAAAAGAGTAAGAATAAATATAACTTTTATCATCACCTCGTATCAGAAATCTTTGTTAAAGTTTTATCAAATGTTCAAACTTCAATTTCAACACATAGCTCACATGATCTACAATTTTTATTAACTTTCCAACTTATTAATATGATAAAGAATATTCTTATCGATGGAGTAGTTGTCGAATTGTTGGCCGTATGGTTCAGTGGTATGATCGGGTCAATGGTCATCAGCATCTCTTTGGATCATATATGTCACAAGAAGAAAGGAATTTAATTAGAGACTAAACTCTTTTGAAAATCTACGTTGCGTTTCTCCTCTCTACTCTTCATATGACTGAAACTCCTAGAGTTGTTTGTTTGATATGCATTATAACGTAAGTGGATTATATAATAAGCAAAAATATTTTTATTCTTTAATAAAGTTTCACGGAGTCAAAAAAATATAACTCACTTGATATTAAGTTTTCTTCTTCTTCTCTTTTGAGAATGTTTGTATAAGCTTAAATAACGAAATTGAACAAATATATATCAATGGATATAAAGTTTTTTTTTTTTTTTTTGCCCCCAAAGAGAATGTTTATGTAAGCTTAAAAAGTTTACTTATAAGCAATGAATAATTAATAAAATTTCATTTTTGCTCAAATGGGAAACATTTTTTTACTCCTTTTAAAATAAATATTTTTTACTCAAGATACAAAAAAATAATTTAATAATTTATATAAAGAAATTACTTAAAAGTAAGCTAATAACTTTTATACTTAGTCCATAATTAACATATTCAGTTAAAATAAATATTAAATTGAGCTACACATTCATAACTACTATTCATTTATCATCCACCATTTTGAAACCCCCTATAGTCCCTCTTTATGAATTGATTAATGAATTTGCCAGGCTTAGCCAAACTTGCAATTGAGCCCATAACCTATTTCTTTTCTTGGGAAATTGTACGAATTAATTGGAAACATGATTAACCATAATTAGTTACCTAGATTGATGGCTTGTAACTTTTATTATATCCTCTGTCTCAAATTCAATAACCCTATAATATATCTACAAAAATACATTACCGTCCATGGAGAACGAAAATGTTTTATCTACAAATTCGTTGAATAACAATAGTTGGAGGAGGAAATTGTAGCAACTCTAAAGTTAGAGGAAGAGAATATTTATTTCAATAGATTGAGGACTTTCTAGTAGCTTTATTAGTTGGAGGATGAATTCTAGCATAACGATAGTTAGAGGATGAAAATGTACCATCTGTATAGTTGGAAGAGGGAATTCTTGATTCAGGATAGTTGGAGGACGATAATGTTTTGTCTACAAATTTGTTGAATAACAATAGTTGTAAGAGGAAATTGTAGCACCTCTAAAGTTAGACTACGAAGATATTTATTTCAACAGATTGAGGATTTACTGTAGCTTTAATTAATTGGAGGATGAATTGTAGCATTACTATAGTCAAAGGACAAAAATATACCATCTGTATAGTTGGAAGACGAATTTCTCGATTCAGAATAGTTGGAGGATGATTATGTAGCATCACGATAGTTAGAGGACAAAATTTGTCATTACCTAATAGTAAGAGGAGGAGAATCAATTTTCTATATGTTGGAGGACTTAGTATAGCTTCTCAATAGCTGGAGGACAAATTGTTGCATAACAATAATTTGAGGAGGAACAATTAGTATCTATATAATTGGAGGATTATTTTGTCACGTTTCTGAAAAATGGGAGGACGATAATGTATTATCTACACAGTTGGAGGCTTGGAGCACTTAGTTAAAGGACGGTAATGATTTGTACTATGAACAAAGTGCCGCACTCACCCATGGCAGTAGCATGTGTCGCGCAATTCCACTCTCTATGCTTCGACTAGCGGTGTCAACGAGTCGAATCTAGTCGGCTTGCAAGTCGAAAATGAAGGCTCGGACTCGACTCGAGATTTTTTAAGATGGACTTTTTTTTGGTTTGAGTCGAGCTGAGCAATGCTCGATCAAAAAATCGAGGCTCGAACTTTACTGAGCTCAATTTTTTCCTTTTTTTCTATCCCCTTCCCGTGAAAGCAAGCCGTCGGCTGCCTTTAAACGGCAATTGGCACGTTGCCTAAGGAGACTCATAATTTCTTTTTTTAATTTTTCGACGAGCCAACCCACAAGTTATACGAGCAAGCTTGGGCTCAGCTCAGCACCTCAAGATGGAACCACGGATGGCTCGAGCCCACGAGCTTATTTGCCATCTCTAACTTCGACATAAATATATGAACTTGCAAATTACTTGAATCTAAGTAGCAAGAGTGAGTAGACAAAGGAGTTTAAAAATAAGAATTTTCCTTTTTCATTTTTCTTATCTTAATAAGGAAAAAGTGTGATAATGTAGGATTTAATTAGTCGGAGAGACAATATTCGCAAAATTGATGGGAGAGAAATAATGGATTTTTAATTAAAAATAAATATCTTATTAACTTATTTATTATTATTTTTTTTAAATGTGATGGCGTTGGGTGGTAACAATCCTTGAATTCTCGAATAAGGTGAATTGGTATATTTTCAAAAAGAACCAAATTTTGGTGGTGTGCAATTCAATATAGAAGGGATTGTTTCACATTTGTACATACAAATGTATTATTTGCCTCAAAAGGATTATAAACTTTTGAAGTAATTTGTCCACCTGAGGTTTCAATCAAGACAAGGTTTACATTTCAAGAACATGTTTCATGTTACTGAATTTCGACTTTATGTTAGTGGTGGAAATGAAAAATAATTACAAATGAAATTGGTTTTAAGAATTTCAAACAATTCGTGAGATATGAACGAGTCATTAGTTTTAATCACAGAGACATACATAATGGTCAAATTGGAAGAAAAATTGAAGTTGGTCCCTAGTTTAAAATAAAAATAAAATCCAACGGCTAACATGAAAAATTCTATAAAGTTCAACTAATACTATGTTTAATGCTATATTAACATTAAACTATTAAAATTTATTGAATAATCAGATTTCTTGAATAAAATATTATAAAAAATCATTCTCAAAATTTTAAAGTAAACGCGTTTTCCAATTTTATATTTTGAGATACGATTTTCCAGAATGACAAAGAAAACGCGTTTTTAGCAATTTCAAAACAGACATTTAAAACATAAAATTCAAAATGAATTCAAAACTCAAAACTACAAAACTGAAACACGAAAAGAACAAACCCTTAGAATTTATGTATAGAATACTTCATTGTAAAAATGTAGTATTAAAAACGAGTTTAAGAAAAATAAAGGAATTTTGTAAGCATAATTGTCAAATAGGGATTAAATCCCTATTCTTGCTTATCTTTCTAAAGGCATTGTCTCCATCTTCATCTCTCTATCGAAATCATTATGACATTATCCAACTACCAATTGATAAAAAATTGTACACTTGAAAGGTTACTTAAAAAAGGGTTGAGAGCGAATCCAGAAGAAAATATTGACGTAAAAAGTGCTCTTAAGTAATTTTGAAACAAAATTTAGGCTTTGTTTATCTATCACTTTTCACATTCTACCATATTATTTTTTCTACAGTATTCATTTTTAACCACACATTTTTCATTAAAATAATATTACACATAAATCAAAATAATTTCATTCTTTTTTAACCACACATTTTAGGCCCTGTTTGAACCACATTTTTCAAAAAAAAAAAAATACATTTTTAAAAAGTGATTTAATATTATTTCAATCACACATTTTTCAATAAAATAATATTACACGCAAATTCAAAACTTTTTCTTATTTTTAACCACACATTTTTATCAATATACGATTCAAAAATGCATTCTTTTGTAAATAATGTGACTCAAATAAGTAACATTAATAACTATTTCATAATACATTACTAACAGATAATGGGGCACAAAGAAGTAGGGCTAGGCAAATATTCTGAACCGAACCGACCGAATCGAACCGAATTCGACGGTTCTTGTCAAATTAAATACCCGAAAGGATATCTGAATTGAGAACCGACGGGTACGGTTTGGTTCTCGGTTCTAGACCAAGAACCGAATAATCGAATTTTTTTAATTTTTTTTTAAATCAAATTATTTTAATTTTAATTTTTTCCAAAGAAATTAACAAATTAACGATTTCTAAATCCAAAATTTTGGTCCAATAATTTGTTTCATTTCTAATTTTTTAATTTTTGGTCCAATTACCTATTTTATTGTTTCATTTCTTAGCTAAACAAGATTAAATCCACTAAATAACCATAAACACCTGCACTAAAGTGCATAACGTTGTCTTGACTCTTGCAACCTCGCTAATATTTCAAAACCTATACAATCGTCGGCCGACACTGTGACCTCCGATCGAAATTGTGACCCCCGCCGACCGAAACTTTGATCGTAGCGATCATTTGAACAAGATAGTTTACTAATCTCTGACATTCCAAAATCATTGAATGTATTAATAGTTGTATTTATATAATGTTGTTATAAATGTTAAAAAATTTAATTATAGTACAGAACCGAACCGAACTGAACCCGAACGGTTCCATAATTATATTTGGACCCGACGATTCCATTTACTAGATACCCGAAAAGTTTGATTCGGTTCGATTCTCTTTAGAATTGAACCGAATCGACCCGCGTCCACACCTATAAAGAAGCACTTAGTTCATATATAGTGCCTACCTAGTAAAATTATATCCTTTTCTCTACTTCCAATTCTTTTCTCATTTTGGCTAAAATAAAATTTAAAGACTAAGAGTATGTTTGGTAAAAATTTTAATCCAATTAGTATCAATTTTTTTATCGTTATTTTACTATTTCAACCGTCAAAAAGTCAATTAACAAAATTCCTATCAAACAAGAACTCAAAGAAGAAATTCATAAAAAATATGACAAAATAAATAATTTTAAAGACACCTTAAAAGATCCTATTTTTGTAGTAACGTAATCTACCCATTTTTCTCCCCCAAAAGTCAGAGATCTGGGTATCTCTCTTCTCTCTCTGCGCGGTCTTGTCTAAAGGGGGTCCTAAAAATCTCCGCCTTGGTTTTCTTGCCAATTCCTTACCAGTAAGTCTCCGTCATTTCTGCTTCTTTTGATCCACGCCCCTCGATTGTGCTGTCTTATTTTTTATTCATTTTTTCCATTTTTTGAAGTTTTTTTTTTCTCTTCCGATTTTGGTATTTTTCTTGCTTTCTTGATACCATCTTCTTTGATCTGTACCGATCTTTATCCTTGGACAATTATGGGTTGAATTTGTAGTTTTTTTTTTTTTTTGCCCTTTTGCTGAGGATATCGGTTTTTCTTCTTGGTATAAAGATTTTATCTTTGCCACTTAGAGAGGTTTTTTATCATTAATTTGTTTTTTTTTCTGGTTGCATTGAATTTACAGCCTGTATGTACGATTCTATGACGATTTGCTTAATTTACTGCCATTTATGTGCGTTCGTGATGATTCGATTTATTGATTTCTTATGCTGATGAATCTGAGACTTTCTACTGTGTTTAGTAAAAGATTATTCTTGTGTTTTTTGTCGTTGCTATTTGCTGATATTGGGCTTCTTGGATTTAAAGATCAATTGATGCAAAATAAGGAAAATTGAATTTAAAGTGTTGTACTCCGTGTTTAAGTTTGAAAGATAGATATTGCTGCTCTAATCTGATTTTGATGGATGAATTTGTTCCTGTAAAAAATGAAGTTTATTATGAATATTCTAATACCAGTTGACCTGGTTTGTTTTTGTTCATTAGTTACAGCTGTATTTCTTGGCTGGATGATTCGACTTGTTGCTTGAATGCATACTTACCTGATGTTTTTGTTGCTTCCTGATTCAGGGTTCAAGATTCTTTAAGAACCATTTCTTGTAGAATATACTGAAAATCATGAGTTTGGAGGTCTCTGAATCTAACTTGGCCGTTTCCGTGGTAACTGGAAATGAAGAGAAGATTTCTGTGGAAAATGATGACAAGATGAACATAAAATTTGGGTCACATACTATGGATGAGCCGGCCAAAGAAGATGGAAAAAAAGTTTTGGAGGCCAACCTCCCGAACAACGCAGCTGATGAGTGGCCTGAACCGAGTCAGATCCACTCATACTATATTGTTAAGTATCGGTCTTTTGAAGACCAGAATCTGAGGGGCAAACTGGAACTGACGGAGAAAGAGTTACAGAAAAAGAATCAAGCTCGATTCCAGATCACTGAAAAATTAAGGGAGAAACGGGTAAATTATGCAGTGCTTTATACTTTTGGGTAGTCATACTTGTGCGATTGTGTCTCTTAAAAATAAATGCTGGCTAGTGGCCATTTGCTATGATTTGGGTGGCCGTGGGGGGGGGGGGGGGGTTTACTTATTTCTATTAATAAATATTCCCTCCGTCTCTGTGATTTTTCTATTGCTTAGAAAATAACGCTCTAAAGTGGAAGCACTTTTACGATTGGATTCCAAAATTTTCTTGTCCTTCCAGTGGCAGTAATAGATATTTAGGAAAATTTATGACCCCACTTTCAAATTTGTCCTGAAACACAGTTAAAGGTGTTGGGTCAATTTGAAATCTGAATTTGTGTTGATGAGGTGACAAACAAAACCATGATGTTTCTTACTTTAATGCCAAGGGAGTGTGTGGTGACAAGATGAAAAAAATCATTTTATTTTTATTTTGTTTACCTGCCAAAACAGTTTGGCATTTCATGTTTGCAAAACCAACTCCATATCAGTCCTTCATGGACCATAAGGATACGATGACATTGAGAAATTTCCCTTTCCCTATATTTCAAAATAGATTCAATATAGAACTTTAACTTCTCAAGGGCCCAAATGCCGACTAGAAAACTTGAACGTCTGATACCAGCAGGTTTGTTAATAATTATCCTTTAGAAGTTGTCTGAAAGGGCACAGTATGAGAGATGATCCCTAACACTTGCAACGAGGGATGTTTTAATATGTCTAATTAGACTGCTCATACAGCAATTATGCAAGCATGATAGAGGTATTGCTTAAGTTTTGTGGTGAAAAACATAATTTTTCCCCCCTTTTTCGTCAAAGAAATATGTCATCGTGGAATTTGAAACCTATGAACTATATGGGAATATAGTATAGCCCGCTTTTATCATTTCTTCTGTGTCACTTTGAGTGTGTTTTGCAGGCAGTTCGGGCCCAGGTAATTTCCGAGTTAAGGTCTCTAAGTGTCGAGAACAAACAGTTTAGGTCAATCATGGATGAGAAGAGAAGAGAAATGGAACCTCTGCAGCAGGCTCTTGGCAAGTTGCGAGGTGCTCCTAATGGAGGCAGAGAGAGGGGTTCGGTAATATGTTCTTCTGAGGAAGAACTCAACGATGTTGTAAGTTTTTGTTTGAGGATGTATAATTTTTGAAGTGCTTTCCACTCTAGTTATTACTTTCATATAACACTTCAAGCTAATAGGTCTCTCTTTCTGTTGAAATTAATCAGATCAAAAGTTTACAATATCGCATTCAGCATGAAAGCATTCCTCTCAGTGAAGAGAAGCAAATCCTCAGGGAAATTAAACAACTTGAAGGGACAAGGGACAAGGTCATTGCAAATTCTGCTGAGAGGGCAAGGATCCAAGATGCATTGGGTGAAAAAGAAGTGATTCAGGACCAAGTCAAAGTAAGATGCTGTATATTTAAAACTTCATATAGTTCTGTGCCTATTTTTTATGGCATCGCTAGCTGACTTTAGCATGCAGTAGCCAGTAGCTGTATGCTTATAACTATCTTATTGTAGCTTATAGGTGTTGATCTTGATGGAGTTCGAAAGGAAAAGCAAGTGGTCAGTGTCAAGCTTAAGCAGCTTGATGAAGAAAAAGCATCTATAGACAAAGACATAAATGTTTTACAGGAGGAGTTGACCGCAATTACAGAGAAGAGAGACAAAACTTTTGAAACCATTCAGGAAATGAGGAAACAGCGTGAACAGGCGGTATGCTTTTTTCATCTTTAATCATGATGATTCATCATCCTGATTAAACACTATTATACATGTCTTGTTTTACAATTTATAGCATTGTAGGATTTTTTGGTGTAATTAAATCACTAAGAGGGTATGTTGCAGCCATTTTGAAAGAATTAAGAAGTGCCGAAGTAATGTCTAGACCCGATGATTTAAAACAAAGACAAAGGATCCCAGGACAAGGGAACGTGTCTCTATAGTCTTAATAACTGGATAAGACCAAAGAATCCAAATAGAATTTTAGACGAGACAAACAATGTAGGGCTACATACCCCTCAATGAATGAAATTGATTAATTTGTTTTCCCCTTCCCTTTAAGCTATTTGAGAGTTGTCCAACTTGAGTTACGAGTATGAATGGTTTCCTTTTCGTTTTCAGGAAGGAAGGAAGAAGAAAAGATATATTAGTTGATTTTCTAGGCCCATACGTCATATTAGAATTCAAAGAATCCAAATAGAATTTTAGACGAGACAAACAATGTAGGGCTACATACCCCTCAATGAATGAAATTGATTAATTTGTTTTCCCCTTCCCTTTAAGCTATTTGAGAGTTGTCCAACTTGAGTTACGAGTATGAATGGTTTCCTTTTCGTTTTCAGGAAGGAAGGAAGAAGAAAAGATATATTAGTTGATTTTCTAGGCCCATACGTCATATTAGAATTCCATACATAGACAAAACTTCAAATCAAACCGTATTTTCTTCAGCCATAAGAGAAAAAAATTCTTACATGTTTCTTGTGTGTGTGTGTGTGTGTAGTGGTTTTTTTTTTTTTTTTGGGGGGGGGGGGGGGGTTATTGTTTATCTGCATCTATCCCAATGAGCTGCCTGTCAAATCAGTGCTACTGATATTCGATACTGAAGGAAGGAAATGATCTTTGAAAAGTTAGTTTTTCCGATGAAGAATTAAACTTCTTAAAATGTTCCTGCTATTCTACATATACTTGGGTAAGGCACTCAACCAATAGGAACTGTCTGTGATATTTTGAAGAAGGGTGGAAGATTTTAATTTCAGCCCAATCAAACGAAACTCGGTTAAAAAAATATGCGTTAAAATCAAGATCTGGTGATATAACCCTGGGGCTTCCAAAAGTGGAACAGGTGTTACATCTTGATACACTGATTTACCATAATAATAAATAGAGTCAATGGTGACTCCGCCGTGGGAATCTGTCTTAGGCCTGAATCATGTCAACCTGAAGGCAACCGCTTTCTTGGGGGAGTTAAAATTTCAACTGTTGCTAGTTGTTTTTTATTCTTAAATTCTATGAGTTGTTAGAACTTAGCTGTACTAGATGCAATTTTATAACAGCGTCTGTTATGTGTACGGCAAAATCTCCCAACTTTTTTTGAGGCCACCTTTACGTCACCATAGAATTGGAATTGCTCAACATTTGGTCAGAATGTTAGATGATGGTATTATCTTGCGTCTCTTTGTTTTTTTGATGTTTATTTTGTGTGATTTCTGACTCTTCGATTAGATGAAACCAGAGGTGTCAAAAAGGGGTTCTCCCATCTGGATTGGTGAACCATGGACCTGGCTATCAAGCCCACCGCTGCCGCAGAGTCTCTTAGCTGTACTAGATGCAATTTTATAACAGCGTCTGTTATGTGTACGGCAAAATCTCCCAACTTTTTTTGAGGCCACCTTTACTTCACCATAGAATTGGAATTGCTCAACATTTGGTCAGAATGTTAGATGATGGTATTATCTTGCGTCTCTTTGTTTTTTTGATGTTTATTTTGTGTGATTTCTGACTCTTCGATTAGATGAAACCAGAGGTGTCAAAAAGGGGTTATCCCATCTGGATTGGTGAACCATGGACCTGGCTATCAAGCCCACCGCTGCCGCAGAGTCTTTTTTTTTTTTCTCCTCCATAAAATTAAACAGAAAAAAATCAATAAATAAATAAACCAATGGACATGGGACGGTGGAGGTCCAGCCAGGCAAAGCATACTGGATCTCTGCAAAGGGTGCCCTCCCCATTGTGCATAACTAGGTGATACTCAAATCCAGGCCCAGGGACAGTCCCACACATTTATGTGAAGTCTGGGCATTGGATCTGCCATCACAAGTTGACGGTATATAATACCGTGAATAACCAAACTATTGTAACCAAATAAAATTCAATAACACCCGACGACAATAATTAGCAATCCACTCCATGGAGCATATAAAAAAGCAATCTATGTTAGACAATATTAGTCATTTTTGGTGACGTTCCATGTATATATTTGTACCTTATTTTTTCTCAGAAGAGTTGAAAATGGACCCATTTAAGTAATGTCCCGGCCAAGCAATTCCATGACAAGATGCTTTCTCGTGGATAGACAGCACTAGTTTATCAATATCCACGGTCTTGTGTTCTACTCTTTGTTTTTTAGGTTTTGTGCTTAACTAGGGACCAAATGCCAAATTTTGGTTATCTGTCTCTTGTTCGGTTTGCACTCTGTTAAAATGTCATTGCAGGCCTTTTTCCCAATTTGTAAGTAGAACGAAATGTCTTTACAGAAGTTCAGAGCAAATTTATGCTGTTTCTGTTAGCCAATTTAGACTTGAAAGGAAAAACGGCATTGCCTTATACTTGTTCCATGATTGATTGTTCATTAGTTTTTAACATATCTGAAATATTTTTTGATCTTTGAGAAATTGAAGCCACAAAATATATCTTATTGCCAAATGTAGAGGGAAGACAGTTTGCATATTATTTGTTTAGGTCTTTACAAATTAGTATTTTGACTTGCAGAATGCCCACTACTACCAAAACCGTACACTACTGATCAAAGCCAAAGAACTTGCAGCAAAGAAGGACGTTGAAGCCCTCAACGACCTCTCACATACAGAGGTTTGGCGATTGATTTTCTGCCTTGAGTTAAATAGCCATGGGAGTTACACTTAGTTGTCTAACAGTTGTCCTCGTCTTCCCACTACCAGGTCGAAAAATTCATTTCCCTCTGCAGTAGTAATAAGGCATTCAGGGATGACTACAAGAGGAGAGTGTTGCCATCACTCGACGCGAGGCAATTGAGTTCCGATGGTCGGATGAGGAATCCGGACGAGAAGCCACTTATGGCAGTCGAGGCACCGACTCCATTCGAGACTCAGATGATTGTGAAATCAAACGTGAAACAACCTGCTAAGGAGGATTCCTTTCCTGTGGCACAACATGATACTTCTGTGCAAAAAGATCAAACAGAAAAGAATGCTCGAAATAAGAAAGAAGCAAATAAGAAAACCGAAAGCATCGTGGACAAGATTGAACTTGAAGACAGAGATGTCTCTGGAATACATAAATCGCAGAAGGATGATCCTTCTGAAGTTGATGAGATGAAATTGAAGGAGATGAAGCGAGAGGAAGAGATTGCCAAGGCTAAGCAGGCAATGGAAAGAAAGAAGAAATTAGCAGAGAAAGCTGCTGCCAGATCAGCAATAAAAGCTCAGAAGGAAGCCGAGAAGAAGCTTAAGGAAATTTTTACTTTTGTTAACTTTTCCTTTTAGCTTTGTCCTGTGATCTTAATTCTTAAAATGTTTATTTGGCTCTCAAAATATTGCAGGACCGCGAAAAAAGAGAGAGAAAGAAGGCTGGGGCTGTTGTCTCTCAGGATTCTGAGGAACCAACTGAAGCAGTTGCAGAAGTTGATGAGCCAGAGAAGACGGAGGAAAAGGTTGTAATCCCGGTCCTGCCAAAGAGCAAGGGATGGAAAGAAAATACCCCTAGGCATAGAGCACGCCCGAGAGGTCCAGATTCACTTCCAAAGGTTATACTGAAACGCAAGAAGACAACTAACTATTGGCTATGGGCCGTCCCTGCTGTTTTGGTGGTTCTTGTAGTTCTTGCATTTAGTTACATCTATCTTAGCCATGATAGTAGAGTAGAGTAAGGTGATGGTGGATGAACCTTCTGTTTTGACTTAAGACCCCGATACTGGACTTACATTAGTAAGCTTAAATTCTGTTTTTTGTGTCCTATAAAGAGAAGAAGACTAGAAAACTCGTAATGTTGATCGAACAGGTTGTTGGCTGCAGAGCAACCGGGTTTTTCAGGGACTTATATATTGTGAAATTTTGACTCTTGAGAAACGTTATTGAATTCTTTGTTTCTTCCCAAACTGATAAATGTAGCCAAATTGGTTGGATGCAGGTGCATAAGCTTTGAATGATGTATTTTATATCATAATTGCTCGAAAGAGTTCAAAAATGTCTCCATTGATGGATTTGCAGTGGCTTCGTCAAAAGACAAATGACGGAAAACTTTTCTTTCTCACATCTGTGGACGCACGGAGCTCTACTGAGGTCTCCGATTTTCTGTGGGTGGCCTTTTTTCACTAATGTAAGCACCATTAGTTCCATTGATCCCATCAAAATTTCAGTTCTTACAGTTATGTCGATCATTCTACCACAATTTCTAGTAGAGAATCAGTCGATATCTATTCGTCCTTTCTTTTTTGCTGTAAAAAGTCGTTCATGACTCTGGAAATTTTCGTTACAAAAGATTGAACCTTTAAATGAATAGTTTGAAAAATGGAATGGAAATTAAAATGGTTGAAAATAAGTCACAAACTGGATAGATAGATCAAGTTCGAATCGACCTAACATGGAATTCAATGCGTGAAAGCTGCCTACAAAAGCAAAAAAGTCAATGTATATCACCTAATCTTTCATTCCATTCAAACTTATGTTACTGCAAATAATTTTTAATATATTTAATTAATTGGAAAAAATTATAAAATATTAATAATCAGAAAGACATGTATCAGCACGCCCAGTGAGAACTGAGAACTGTACATTGAACCTTGTAAAGTTGATTAAAGTGGTCCCCATTTATCCCATCATTGCTGTCCATAAGTTAATTATTTATAATTAATAAGTTTTTAATTAAAAATCTCAACTTAAGTTAAAATATAGTCACTTAAGCATATCTTAAAATATTATTTCAGTGACTGCTGGGACAGTGCCAACACTATGTTTGAAGAAAATTTACGGGAGGTCATCTAACTTATAGGTTTGTCTCGTGTTGGCCATCTAACTTTGATATGTTTCGATTTGATAACAAACCTTATATGTTTGTTTTAACTCAAGAATTATTAATATATAGAGAATTTGTAACCTTGTTTGTGAAATTTGTTACCACTTCATGCTTGAGGCAAAATATAGGTTAAGCAATTACTTTGAAATAAAAGTATAAGTTATGTGATCAAGTTGAAAATCATATGACTCAATCTCTCTCTTGGACTATTCCCGAATCCTCAAAATCGATGTCTAATGGTCTTCATCTCCACTGTGGAATCTTAACTTGATGTCTTGGATTCATCTTTCGATTCGTCTTGCAAGTACAGGATAACTTTGGGCAATATCTACTTCATCGATTATGTGCTTGACGCCCAATCCTCCCCAACTCTGGTCGATTCTAATGTTTTTTCGAGTAGTATGTCGTAAGCCCCTTCGTGCTCAAGCCTGACCACTTTGAAATAAAAGTATAAGTTGGGTGATCAAGTTGAAACAAATTTAAAATTAGGTGACCAACATAAAGCAAATATGTTAGTTATGTGGCCCCTAATGAAATTTCATGGTTATGTTAGAGCATCTTCCATGATGATGTAAATTGTTATTTTCAAAATCACTTTTGTATTATCGTTTATTTCCCGATAGCTCTAAATTCAAATTCTACTCCAATAGAAAGATTTAAATCCACTTTTTGCCTCTTGTGAACCCACCTTTAAAAAAAAAAAAAAAAAAAATTGGTATTTTCGGTCCAACAATGCAATTTTCATTTCTTTTGCACTTCTCCATTTGAGAGGTTTTCTGCCACTTTGAAGATATAAATACTCCCTCCATCTCATTTATATAAATTCACTTTCCTTATTTTCTTGTCCAAATTATATAGTCATATTTCTTTATTGAAAATATTTTATTTTATTTGTTTACTAATATGCCCTTATTTAATTTGCCTAGTTATAACTTTTTTTTTTTCGCTTAATCTTGAAATTGTACATATATAAATAAGGGTAGATAGAAAAGCTTTTCACAAAAATTGTTTTTTCAATGACATTAAATAAAATTTCTTAATTCGTGTGAAAAATAAAATCAGTCTATATAAATGGGATAGATCGAGTATCTTTTTTACATCATCATTAAAGACACTCTTATGTTCTTGTTTGGATAAAATGATAGCTTGATAGAATTGAGTGGTGGATAAGTGAAAATAATTTATATGAGTTTTACGTGTCATTAAATTATAATTAAAAAATAAAATATTTCAAGTAGTAAGAGTAAAGTCTTATATAAAGTCATTGATTTGGTGATTCGATTTGAAGAAAAGAGTAAGGTTGTAATTTAAAAAATGAAGTGCTTATTTGGTTAAACTAAAAATCGAATTAAAATTAAAGCAAAGTTAACAATTAAATTTTGATTACATATTTCAATGAATCACCTACATTCAACTAATTTTTATCTAAACATGACAAAAGTAAAATAGTTGAAAGTTACTCTCTTCAATGAATGAGGTAAGAAAGTCAAAAGTACAAGCGTACAAACCTGACTTATATGACATAATCCAATCACAAAAAGACGCTGAATTTAGAAATTGGCATCTTTATTTTTCAAGGTACAGTCACTCACAGCATAGATTTTCAAGTAGCACTAGATTTTGTGTCTTCCAATGGGAATTTTATTAGTTGTTTATCCTTTAAGGATTATTCTCCTTCGGCATGGTGTCTATTACGTACCTCAAGTATGATCCATCCTTTAATCATCCGCGACAATGCGGGTCGGGTTTTCAGCACTTTTCAATAAAATTTGCAGCTGAGATCCCTAATTTTTTAAAAGAGTGCGGATAGGTTCGATCCTTTCCAAATCATAGCACCATCATTTGCAAGAACCGAATTGCATCCTACATCAGAGAGATTTGTTTTGAAAATCCTAAACCTTTTTTGAGATTTGGTACTTGCTTATAGATGGTGAAGGGGGATGCAATGACGAACCCAAGGAGGTCTGGTGAGTCACGTGACCTATCAACTTCAAAAGTTTTTTTTTTTAATAATAAAATCAAATTAATTAAAATCCTTCTGAATTTCTCTTGCAGTCACTAAATCTCTAATGAAATTTTAATTGGATCATTAGATTTTAATTCTTCACAATTGAATCATTTAACCTTAATTTAGTTTCTAATAACTACTCAATCTATGTCACATTATCCTTCCGTAACACAAATCTACGAAAATTGCTTAATTGATAGTCATCTGTAACATATTTTTCATGTAATTGCTCCGTGGCATTCCCAATCATCTTTAGATAACGGAAGAAATATTGTTCGGCAAGCTATATTTTTTATTTTATTACTTTCTTATGTGGACAAGTAATAAGTTGGCATTCCAAGAAGCAATTATGCTCATTATCATTTTCTTTTAGTTTGGGATACATCAAGGGACGAAATATGGAAAAGTGGTTAAATTTGAAACAAAATTAATGTCTGGTAACTCAATTTATACAAATTGAAATTTGGTGATTCAAATTGAGGTAAATTGTGACTTGTTTGTATCCAATTAATTTATTTGCTATTTTTGACAAGATATGAAATTCTTTAATTTTTGAGGTAATAAGATACGGAATGATTTAACTTTTTAAAAAAAAAATAAAAAATAAAAAAAAATTCAAGTTTGATTGTGCTCCTAATTCAAAATATCTGTGTCCACCACTGAGGTGATGGTAATGTGCCTTGTCGATGGTGGTTCTGCTACGATGGATGGTGCGGTAGGTTTGGAGAAAACATATTTTGTGTTTTTTTTGTGGCGGTGGTGTCATCGTCAATGCAGACAGGGGTGGATTGGGATGGGTGAGTGAGCTTGATGGTGAAAGATAAAAAAAAAGTTTACTTTTTTCTAATTTTTTTGTTAATATATATTTAATTATTTTAAATAGAATTTACTTATACTTTTCGAAAAGTTAAGGGACTTCATGTGTAATTTATTTTATTGTTTTCTTTTATTTTTGTCCATTTAAAGAGAAGGACAAATTCATCATTTAATTTCCAAATAAAAGGAATTACGAGTTTTGTTATATAATTGAAAAGTTGGGATGAATTATGCTTAAAAAAGGTTGTTGTCAATATTTGTCATATTATCCAAAGTTTGGGTACAAAAAGTGCAAATTTCCCACTTTAACATCTTAACGTTAATTGGGGTTTTAAAACTAGTTTCTCATTTTCTCTTTATGGAGTGGTTCGTTGTTTATCAAAGTGTCAACCACTAATAAAAAAATAATGTCATTAATTAGAATGTCATTTAGGCTGTGTTTGAGCCTTATTATTTGGCATTATAATGAGATGAATAGTTTTTTTTTCCAAAAAATGAGTGGTTGAAATTTTTTTGATTTACGTATAATATTATTTTATTGAAAATTGTGTGGTTAAAAGTAGGAGAGAGAAAATTTTAGTCTAATGTAATGAGAAATAATGGTGCTCAAACGAGGGCTTAACTGTTACTCACTCAATGGTCCTAATTCATACTCGTTGGCCCACAACTCGAGACTCCATATTTTATGTTTGTTATTCTAATTGTCTCGTCTCCTACATCGAGAACTTGCCAGAAAGAAAAACAAATAATCTGAATTTAAATCTCGCTTTCAAATGTCATGTAATAACGACAGCATAATTGGTACTAAGTCGTAGATGGAAAATTACAACGTTGTAATTAGGCCCCTTTTGGACATATACGGTGGAATTTGGACTTTGAGGATTTAGTAGTATTAATTAAGTAAGATAATAGATCAATAATGAAGTAGGATTTTACTTTTCCAGCACAAAAAAACAACCCAAATCAATGCCAACTAATAATTATTATTGTTTGAAAGTTTAGGTCAAGCCGGCCAACACATTTAACTTTTCTATAGGGTTCTTGGTTTTAATCTATTGTTCGAGGTTCGAGTTGGTCTCTAATCTTTAAATATAAGTAAGTTTACAACATTTCATTAGAGTTAACGTAATGAGTTATCGATAAAATGAATATTTCAAATTGCTTTTGAGTTCTTACGTGTTATGTTTTGTTTTTTAACTTGGTTGCTTCGTAGAAATCTGAAGTGATGTGTGTTTTCGTAAGGACCTTGTAAAGATTTAACAAAGATTGAATCGCTTTATGTTTAGAATTGATTGTGCAACTATTAAAATAGTGGTATTAGAATAATGGATTGAGGATCGATTGTGCAATTTTGGCTTAAATGGATTGAGGTTGGAGAAATGAAAAGCATACATGAACTAAAACACTTTTCCAATTTTTCGAATATAAAAGTGAGGATCAATGTACATTTAACGTGTATACACTACTATAAAATGACATAATATTTTTTATAATTGTTGTTATCAGAATTTTGACATATTCAAAAATTCAGATTATCATCATATCGTTATTTAAAAGAACAAAAAAAGAATAATCGTTGCAAAAGTTTCAAACATTTCAAGTATTAACAGACTTTTTCCAAACCTTTCAAACGTTTCAACCTTCATCCTAAACCTTTTCAATCATTGCATCACAGGCCCTTTTGGACGATTACCATCCGATCTGTCATTAGTTGACCCAAAAAATTAATTTTGATCATATTTTAATCAATATCAATGAGGACAAAATGGCACTTCCATATTTGATCACATTAAATAATTAAAATAATTAAATAACAGAAAAAAGAAATGGAAAAGTTTTAACCTTCTTCTACCTAAATCCAATCCTACCCTTTCATGTCTGCAACCGTTGGCGTCACTGCAAAGCTCCCACACCGCTACTCCACCCTCGCCTTGCCACCATCGCAAACAAACTACCACAATCGCTACCATCAAAAGCAACATCACTGTCATCCCCAAAAACTGCCACCCTTGTCCCCCAACCAAAAATCAAACCCAAGCAATAAAATCATTCCTCGCCTCAGCTACAGGCCATGAGCACAAACACATACCTCACATTCTATTGAGCAAACAACAACATATACAAATCAAAATTAGCCTCCAAAGCATCAAGAACTACTCTTTTTTTTTTTTTGACAATTTCGACAAATCCTTCAATTCACGGGTTTGGTGATGTTAATTCACAAATTTGGCCACATAAAACGTTCAACAACATCATACCGTAATGGGTTTATCTTCAATTGATATAACCAATCAAAGAATCAAGGCCAAGGACATGGGTTTAATTTCAGTTTGTGGGTTGGAGTTGGAATTGAGGAATAAAAATGTGTTTCACGAGGTGGGTGAGAAGTGGAGTGAATAGGCATGTGGCAGTTGTGGTTTCGTCGACGTCGACGGTGACTAGGTAACATTGGTTTTGGTTTGGTTTGGTTTGGTTTGGTTTGTGGTGAAGTGTAGGGTTTTGGGTGAAGAAGATAATTATTTTTATTATTATTTTATTATTATTTAAATTTATTTACTTTAATTATTTAATTTAGCAAAGAGAAAGTTACTATTTTACCACCCTTTATGAAATTATATATATAAAAAAAGGGGTCAAACTCACTTGTTTGGTCAACTAATAGAAATATGAATGTAAATCGTTCAAAAGGACATGTGATGCAACGATTGAAAATATTTGGGATGACAATTGCAACATTTGAAAAATTTGGAGAAAATCTGCTAGTGTTTCTAAATTTTGGAACTTTTGTTGCAATTACTCAATAAAATTGAAAAAGCAAAAATCTTTTTACATATATTTTTTTTGGACGTGTTCATTCATTTTGACTATAACATATTTTGTCATCATAATTTCGACTTTATCTTTCTGGAGTTCATTCTCAATTTACCGATCATTCCATTGATAAGTTATTATTTTACCAATTAGCTAATTAAATGCAAACTTCTCTTTGAACTATTCCTCCTTTGGTAGATAAATTTCAATAAATAAACTCACATGGCGATAGTGCTCAATTCAACTTTGAGATCTAGTAAGTGAATTTATAGTCAACATTCACCAAAAATTCTATAAGAATTATGATATAGGAAAATGGGCATAACGGATGTAAAATGTCAATGGCTTGTAAAGTTACTATAAAATTTTATGGGCGTGGTGCTGACACGCAACTTCACTTTTTGATGATGATCATTTTGTGCCAATTTCTTGCTCCATCAATGAGCTTGAAGCTTTTGGCGTCATACTTGCTTCCACGTATAACTGGCACAAGAGCGGTTTTTTTTTTTTTTTTTTTTTTAGGGAAAAGGGGTTTTTTTTTTTTTTTTTTTTTTAGGTACTAATATTTTATCACGATAAAATTCCAGTGTTTGACTTCTTAAATTGATTTCGATGTGATTCTTTTGTCTCACTATTGGTGATCTAATTTATCGTGTCATAACATGTGTTCAGTGATTATTGATAGTGGATTTGAACATTCTATTTGAGTGGACCTCGTTACATATGGTTGATCTTCATCTTATTACACTCTGATTCGTATTCTTCTTGATAAGTTAGATAATTTTCTCTTATAATAGCTTCCACTATCCATATCTATTATAATGCTAATGAATAACGAGAGATTCGAATATGTAGCAATTAGGACATTTGGTTCCCCACTTTCTTAATTTCAATTAGAGGGGAATTCGATTCTTTTTCTTCCTTTTTTCTCTTTTTGATTAAGTGGTTTCATAATTTAAAATTTCGTATTGAAATTTTGATATGCAGATATGAAACTGCAGAGCACCATTAAAATTTTGATATAATTTGTAATGGTTATACTAATAATCACTCGATTAGAAACGTTAATCTATATCACCGTTAAATTCCAGCATGAATACTCACGATGTTAAGTAGTACGCCATGTGATGAGACAAAAATGCTCCAACTTCAAACTTCGCTGATAAAATGTGATTTATTATTATTATTATTTTAATCAATTGAATGCCTTTTAAAATCAAACAAATATGAGAGAAACGCGTTTGACAATTATGCCTTTAACTGCAATAAACCCAACTTTTGTCGACGTGATTTACTAGTTAATGCATTTTGTGACGCGTAGGGATTTTGTTTAACGTTTCCAAATAAGTGTCAATTAATGTAAATGTTAGAAACTAAATTACCATTTTGAAATTTTTAATAAAGTTGAGTGACCGTTGTTGAAATATAATATTGTAATTTATGGGTGCATTCACGGGGAAATGGACGGTATATGGTACTATTGTGTGAAAAGTTGACATCCCCAATTCCAATTCCAATCACTATCATACTCCATAGTCTGAGTCTTCTTTGGCAGTGAAGGGGCAGCCTCATGGCTCTGAAGTCAATGATCAAATGTATTTTTCTTGAAATTCACCCAACCCTTTACCGTACCCCACACCCATCCTGTTTGTCTACTTGATGCTCATGCCCAAAAATTCCCAACCCCACCATTGCATTTGCCTCCCACTTGCTTTATCTTTAATATTTCCATACAAATTCTCTTATTTTTCAATTAGATTATAAACTATGCTCTTCTTTATCTCGTTTAAATGAGTAATGCTATTTATCTGACTAATGATTATCATCGGTTCGAATGGTATTCATTGATACGCTATCTTAAATGGGATTCATATTTCTATATTTAAGATGATACTTACTTGACACAAAAAATCTAGGAAGCGACGCCCTATTTATTATTCAACCACATAAAAATTATTGTCAAGATTGATGTGGAGCATTATTCAATTTAAATTGTGTATCGCTAACATATAATGCTATTCATCAGCTACATCACTACTGATGAGTAACATTATTCAACACTAAATACTTGTGGGGTGTTCAAAAAGCAATGTAACGAAGCCCTTGTCGGACCCATTTATTTTAGTTTTATACAAAATATACTAAAATTTTGATTTTTAACTAAATCACTGTTTAATAGTCATTATTTTAAAAAATAAATTTTTGAATACCCTTTTTTTTTTTTGAAAAAAGTGTAGTTAAAAAGCAAGAAAAAATTTTGAATTTACGAATAAAATATTTTTATAGTGTGAAGGTGTAATTGAAAATGAGCATGAAAATTAAAGAGTTTTATTTTAAAAGAAGACATACATAGAAAAATACTGGTATGTTACATATACTATCGGGGTTGACAACTACATACATGGAAGGAATCCACGATGAATAAAAAATGGTAGACCCCTTTCGATAAATAAGTTATCAATTTTAATTGTACAATTAGCAAAATTCATTAAAAAAAAAATATTATGTATATGGTTGAACAATATAATAAATAAGTTTCGATGACCGAGAAAAAGAGGGAGGGAACAAGAAGTGTAATAAGTCCAAGTCTAGCTAGTGAGAGAAAGTGAGGCTAAAATGATGATGTCAAGAGCACCATAAAAACAAAAGAAAAACAAGAATCACAATTCTAACCAAAAGCCTTGTTTTTCACTCATCCATCTCTTCTCCTCCACCCAAACCAACCATAACTTTTCTTCCTTCTCTCTTTCAAATGGAAATTAGAGAGAATAACCAATCTCCTACAACTTCACCTAACAGCAATGGCAGCAGTAGCAACAGCAATGGATCACTCCAAGTCCCCACCCCACCCCGTACCCCTACCCCCATCCCCAGATCTGATACTAATCCTTACCCTACAACTTTTGTACAAGCTGACACCTCCACCTTCAAGCAGGTGGTTCAAATGCTCACTGGATCATCTGAAACGGCCCAAAAAGCCTCCAAATCCGATCCACCACCGGCTTCCTCCGCCGCCAAAGGCGGCGCCAGGATACCACCCATCAAGAGCACTGGTGGTAAGAAGCAGGGATTCAAGCTGTATGAACGAAGGAATAGTCTTAAAAATGGTCTTATGATCAATACTTTGACACCTGGTCTAGGTCAGAATTCGAGCTTTTCACCACGAGAGGCCGAGATCTTGTCCCCGAGTATTCTTGATTTTCCTTCGCTGGTTCTTAGTCCTGTCACCCCTTTGAACGAGGACACACCGAGCAAATCCTCGCCTTCAATGGGGAGTGCTTCTGAAGAGGAGAAAGCAATTGCTGAGAAGAAATTTTACTTGCATCCATCTCCTAGAACATCAAGACCCAGAGATTCTCAGCCACAACTATTGCCACTTTTTCCGGTGACTTCTCCCCGTGTTTCGGGTTCTTCTTCTTGAAGCCATCTCCATGGCCTTTATTTGTGATGTAATTGAAACTAGTTCTTAGGTCAAAGAATTGCTGTTAATTTGATCTTTTCATGTTAATTTTATCACAATTTCTTCTTCATCTTCTTATCTTGAATTTTTGCTCACTTTTTGACTATGATAATTTAGCTGACATTTCTCCCTTCATGTTACATCAATGGTTGGATTTTTTCAACTTAAGTTTGAAAAAAATCAACTTTGTGATATCACGTAAATCAGAGTATTGGGTTTCCTTTTTTCTTTTTTGAAAAAAGGAATCAAATTTCAGCAAGAATAGTGTATAGTCCATTCATTCTTGATGAATCAAATTCGTATTCTCTGAACAATAAGCAGATGAAAGATTCTGTGAGTTTATATATGTGCTTTTAATACATGGATATTATTATCTGATCTTTATACCAGTGGAGGCAGCATAAATGCATTGAAAAATGCATAAATCTTAATTTGTTAATATCAGCATATATGCACTTAAAACATAGAAAAAAAGGTACAAAAATCCTCATGGGTAGTTTTCTTGGACAAAATTCATTTTCATAAGCAGGTTCTTAATTTAGAGTACTGTTGTATCATGTCTGTGTTTGTCTATGTTTTAGAGAGAGATACATGGACACATATACAGCTCAATCTTATTCTGTGTTAGGCCGTATTGTACGGTATGAGGAACAATGTTTAGTCCTCATTCGATTTAGTTAAAAATCAGATTTTTTTTAGTTGATTTTGTGATTTAAAAGTTGATAAAGATTAAGAGTTTTGTAAAATTAATTGTTAATTTAAATTTTTTAACTAAATGAAATAGGGACTCAACGTTTTTTTTTTTTTTTTTTTTCCCCCTATTTACGTACCTAAGAATTGTATTTTTCTCCTCATTCGATTTAGTTAAAAATCAGATTTTTTTTAGTTGATTTTGTGATTTAAAAGTTGATAAAGATTAAGAGTTTTGTAAAATTAATTGTTAATTTAAATTTTTTAACTAAATGAAATAGGGACTCAACGTTTTTTTTTTTTTTAGATGACTGTTGCACTGCCTGCCAGCTTGGATTGGGCCTAACTTTTTTTTTTTTTTTTTTTTTTCCCCCTATTTACGTACCTAAGAATTGTATTTTTCAAGGTGGGACTACTCGAAGTTAGTAGTAGTGGATCTTTCTTTGGGCAGTGATGATTGGGTGGACATAGGATCTAAGATAAGCTCTTGAATATTTTGGACTTCCCCCAATGAAATTGTTACAAACCACCCCCACCCCCCTCACCCCCAAAAATAAAAATAAAAATAAAAAATCAATGTTTTAATGCGGATCACTTTACATTAAGTCCCGTTTGATGGAGATTAAAATTAAATTTTTTATAGAAGTTGATGAAATACATTATTAAAAAGTTGTGAATTCTATTAAATATATAACTAAAATTAATTGATTTTGACTTGAATTAAAATTTTAATTTTAATTTCTACCAAACAGGAGCTTAATGCATGGATAGCTTTGATTAATTTTTGATTTCTGGGCTTCTAAACATCCATTTTTGAGAATACAAACATCTTTTTGCCTTGCTAGAAATAGAAAAAGTAGACTGATTATTGCATGATAGACGAGATATGATTCGAGAAAATTAAAGAAAAAGTTACACTATTAACGGTAGTAGTCTATTTTTGAGGTGTAAAGTGGGTGGAGCAATAAAGTCGAGCTGGCCTAACCCTCAATCTTAGGAGAGACAGGACACTGTTAAATTTTCTCAAGAAAATTCAACACGAACACCCAACTAGATTCGAACCATCCAAATCTAGTTTAATGCATTGAAAATGTCAAGGTTTTTAAGAAGCATGTAGCTCTGTACAATGAAAAAATATTCTTCTAATTTATACTTATTTTTTGTATATATCATATAACACAAATTTGATCTTCTTAATTACATCAAAGGGTGAATTAGTAATTCTGCAAGACAGAAAACAAGATAAAACATAGAAATAATAGATAAAACATTAAAGGAAAAAGTTATCAACAATCAACACTTTGGAGGTCAGGTTTACGTCCCCTACCTTTCATTCAAATTTGCTTAACTCTATATATCAAGTAGGGGTCGATGTTATCGATCAACATAATGGAAACAGCTGAGGACGGAGAAACGGCAAAGACCAGCAATAAGCCTCCACCAGCCGCTCATTCGCCGCCATCTGAAGAACTATCTTCTTCAACATCCTGGCTGGGCAAAACACCACCCGCCAGTGCACCACCTGGCGCGACGCCATGCAGAACCCTCTTTTCTTGTTTCCCAGCCGTACCGTGCTGCCCTTCCTCCTCCTCTTACGGTGGCGCGTCCGGCACCAACCCAGGACCACGGCGATGTTAGAAAAGAGAGAGATAGTGATGCCTCTCTTAAGCATTTGCTTAGTTTTTGTTACTGTTTCTGGCTAGTATTATGGCAGAATGTCGCTTATATATACAGGGAAATTTTTTACTTGTTATCGCTTAACCTTACAGGTTTGTTTTGTATTGGTCACAAAATTTTAATTTATTCCACCTCTATCACCTAACTTCTAATTTTATTTCAATTTAACGATTTTGCGAATGAATGATGTTACACGTACATCAAGATATTCATAACGGTGTTCATCCTACTCACATGGAGGAGACCCATTTCGAATAAAATATATTTTATTCGAAATGGGT